TTTCAAACAGAATTGTTTTTTGCATCATTTTCACTACAACAATTCCATATTATCCAATAAACAACTAATCCAGAGGAAAATATTTCAATTGTATGCGTGTTTCAATGCTTTATATTCTTCTTACTTACAATACAGAGCTTAATTACAAAAGTTGATTATGGGAGATTGAATTGGTTTTGCATCCATATGAAAGTCTCATAAAACCTTGGATCTGCAATTCTGAGAGATGCTCTCTTATAGAAATAGTAATAGAAAACTGCAACTTTAAGAAAATTAAATGTAAGAAAGCGTTCAACCCGTTATAGTAGATATATTATAAATACCATGCTTTTATTACCTCCTCTATGCAACGAATATAGAACATGAAAATTTTTAGTCCAATGATATGTGAGAGATGATGACCAATACATTTTAATATCCCATGTGTGAAGAGATATACTCAATATCATATACATAATACATAGTATCAATGTTATGCGAAATTTTGTGTATAGCAACTGTATTAATCCCACCTGTATAAAATGTGTCATTAACCTTTTGTTACAACAATAGATTGTTAAAAAAATTAAATATCCACTTTTCGTTGTAATTTTATTTTTAACAATTACCTGGAAAATGTAAGTGGAAAAGAAATTAACCAATAGAATCGTCAATGTCACAACAAGACAAAAATCTTGAACGCTTAAAAATAAGAAAAAACGTTAAACACGTAATCGAAACCTGATAATAAATGAACAAAGGAAAGATACCTACACATAAAGAATTAATAAAGTAATTGGATTTTGTTGACAGAAGCCAGCGAACGAATTAACGAAAATATCGTAAAACAATATCAAGTACTGCACAATTACTGTCACCAAATATTTTTTTGTATTTAGTGAACTCATTTATCACAAAGAATAAAATTTACTTATATGTTATAATTTCGTTATGCATAAAGATAAGTAGGCAAATATCCTTATTGTATCGTATGTATAGCGTAACTGCTGCTATGACAACGAAAATAACACATGCATGTGCATTCCGTGCACTTTAAACACTAACACATATTGCACGTTGCACTGTACGTACATTCGCACATGCATATGCTTTCATGGTTTATGATCACACTTGGTGTGATGTCAGTACATGTATGGTGTCATTGAGACTGTGACACAAATGCTACATTCAGCAACGCGTAATCGACAGCTGACAGGTTGTCTACAATTAATCTGTTGAAGCACAACAAACCATATCCGAGTGTTAATCAGTATACACAACTGTATTTTTCAAATCATAGACTATCATGGAATAAGTATACAACAGTATGAAAGTTTCAAATAAACGTCGAGGTTATGAACATAAAATTGATAAGTGGGTGATGGGAGTGATCTGTATAAAAATTAACTCTTGACATTCAATTATCATATCCACAATTATTTGATTTGTAAACTACGAGTGACAATGGATATTGGAAATAATAATCGTGTATATACACAACAATTAATTGCCATGTTTCCTATATTGGAACTAGACAACGACAATGTAGATTTTCCTTTAAAGAACCCACATATATCTTGGTTGGATATTGTTTTCCTCGTATCCTCAATTCTTATGCACATTGTAGATATGGGATTTGATATAAATCTTGTTGTAAGATATTTATTAGGTGGGAAAACAACATATTTTATATGGACAACTACATTTATCTTTGTACCATCGCTTATAAATGTAATAATCAGTAGAAGAATGCAATGCCAAGATGACCAGGTAGAAGATTATACAATGTAATCCACTAAATTTCTGTTTTAATAGCGTTGAAATAATTATTATTTTTTCCTAGAAAAATTGTGTCCAAAATCATACCGAATCCAAGTGCATACATTCCATGTTAACAAGAAAGTTATATTGTATTGTAGTTGTTGCATTTCAATTAGCACCGGTACTTCGTTACTACAGAATATTGATATATACTCTGAAGGCTTATAGATTTCAAAAACAAGGAAACAGAAATGCTCAAAGGAGATACTACATAAAAATGCTCAAAGAAGATCAAGATGTTGCTCTACTGAGAGTATTCGAATGCTTTTTAGAAGCAGCACCTCAACAAGTTTTGCAATTAACTATATTATTGAAGGATTACCATAAGAAGATTAATTTTGAATGTATATGTTTTGGCAAAATTTACATATAAAAGATAGATATCTTTTTGGGAAGATCTACATATAAAATTAAAATTTGTCTTTGTATTCATTATAGTTATTCACCAAGTGGCTACTATCCTCAGTTCACTTGCAAGCATGGGCTGGGCCATGGCTAGTTATCATCGTAGTATTAGATTGGTTCAACAAGACAAGTTTAATATCGGAATCACAGGAACTGTTTTGCAGTTTCTATGGCACTTTTGCACAACAGGTATTTAAAGAACTGTCGTATGAAAAAGCTTTAGAAATCATTATTTATAATGAAATATTTCAGTTTCAAGGATATTATCGCTAACCGTTGCCGCGAGCATTTGGCCAATACATACAGCGATTGCTTGCATTTTACATTGGATAGGTATGAGCTGCTGGATCATCATAGATTCACATGGCATATTAGAATTTTGTAGAAACCATAATCGTGCGCCACATTGTCCTCCAAAACTGAAAGAACGCATATACTCTGTACTATTATCCCTTATAATTGGCGTTGTTCACGTGTTCATATATTTGCATGCTGTAGATGGCAGCACATTTTTCAAACACGTGTTCTTTTATATGATATGTTTCTTTGAAAATACAACAGCAACTGTTCTTTGGATATACATATCGTCAAGTGAAGTTAAACAGGCCTGGTATTTCAATGTACTTATTATTTTTTGCATTATACCATTTTTGGTAGGTATAACAGCCATGATTGTTTATTATTGCGTCTTTCATCCATCTATAAAACGTTCAAATCCTGTAAATACATCATCGTAGCTTAATACTGAACAATTCAGTACTATAATTTAATTTTGTTGGAAAAACATGTACAAAAGATTTAGTTTATTCCTTGTTACCATATTGTACAGAA